TTTAAATCAGTCACGCGTGTACAAGACGTGTTATCCATATTTACCTTGATGGTTCTAAGTTAACGAGCCGCCGCGGTAGCCTAGTGGTTATCATCATGAACTCATAACTGGTGGGTCATGAATTCGAGCTATAGTGCTAATGAGGACCCAATGTGTAGTGGAACTGGTGTACGTTGAAATTGTCGAGGCTCAAAGTTATCCCGTTAGCGTTTTTGCAGAAGTCCAGAGAAGTGGAAGCGAGCTCAGATGTCGTTCTAGTCACTAGGTCATAGTTTGAAATTTCGAGGTACTTCACCAGTTGCTTTCATGTTGCTTTATAGGGAGCAGTTTATGGGAGCTTCTTCATGGTTTAAGACTTTCGCAGGTTCAATAATACAATCTTGTGAATATTTCATATAAAAACATTGATTATCTATCTTAACCGCCTCTAGCTTCCCCTTTTGAGCTTGTCTATCTCTGCCTACAACACCTTCATATGCTATGCTTATTAGCTCGTTTTCAATTTCCCCACGGGATTATGTATATAATCAGATCTATAATTTTGTGCTAGCTCAGTATCGCTACCGCTGGAGAAAAATTCTTCTTTTGCTTTCCCACCTTGTAACAATAAATTACTACTGATGCTTTCTATGATGTCTAAAGCTTCATCTTTATCGTCTTGGTCGGTAATATCATTAACCCTCCCTATATACTCTTTGGTTCCATAGCGTGGTTTCACACGATCACTGAGAACACCTTCTATTTCTTCAAGTATTAAATTTGTTACAGTTTCTTTATCATCTTTTTCATTGTCATTTTTATCATCATTACAAAGATTATCACTTTAACTACAGTTTGAATCTTCTTCTGTGTTACAATCACTCGATTTAACAGACTTTATCTGACTATCATCACCAGAGTTATTTGAACAATCATCTACCGAATCCTCAAGTGTTGTCGGATTCCCTTCATTTTCATGAGAATCATCTAAATCATAACCCAAATCTTCAAAGCTTGACACGGCACTCATGTTCAGTAGCATATTCAAATGGAATCTTTCCACTTTGATCTTGCATATTTTGATCAGCTTTTGCTTTTAAAAGAAGTTCTATAGCTTGAAGGCAGTTATTTTTAGCAGCATAATGTAACGGAGTCTTTCCACTTTGATCTTGTACATTTGGATTAGCTCCTGCTTGTAGAAGAAACATTAAACAATGATTCAATGAATCATTCTGATGTCTCTTATTTGATATCTTCTAGTTTCATCCTGCATATTCTATTTTTACTGCGAAGATATTTTTCATTAACAAAACGTAAAAATATACATAATAGCAACAAAAAAAAAAGATTTTTTGTTTGTTTTATTTTCACAGATTTTCTTAGTTCCCTGGATTCCTTGCGTTAATCCAAGTACTCATCTTATTCTTTGATCACTGCAACATTAGAATTAATTCCTATGAGGCGGCGCTTGAACATCACCCAACCATCATGATCTTGAGCCGGCTCAATATACATTGCTGACTATAATTCTGATTGCAGTCACTCTGCAACAGCTCAACTCAAATCGTCTGCCGATTTTTAACTTTTAATTTGATGAGTTAAATATGGAATTTGTAAATAAAGTTCTTGTAAATATTGTTGCTGGTCCTTCCAACATGGTGGAGTTCTACAGGTTATACCTACATAAAAAACTGAGGATATAGCCAAACATGCTTTAAAATCTGTCAACTGTTTTAACAAAATCAACTGGATAATTTATCTACGTTAGAATCAAGAGCAGCGGAATGTTCTACATCGTTTCTTAACTAGCGCCGGATGAACGGTTAGTAAATTTTCCCACTTATTGTGCCTTACTTGTTGAACAGTGCAATAACCTTTATTTTTATCTGTATGTATCACATTAAATATTTATGTTAACTACTCAAATACATTTATAACATTTGGTAAAACGAGAATTAACATGCATTACTTGCTTGGGTGTATAAGAAAAAAATATAGCATTCATAGATTCGGTAAAGCAATATCACTTATAAGAGTTACTACTACTGAACATTTCCCAAAAATTGTTTGTTGCTTACTTGCAAATTTTAAATAATTTAGATAACAAAAATTTTAATGTAATTAACTGTACAAGAACAAAATAAAAAAATGAGTATATCTAATATATTAAAATAAAAATAATGTAATATATGTATGATTAAAAAGATACGAATATAAAACGTGCATGCTAGATCTAGAAACGATATTTACTCATATCTCTAGTTCAGAGATTGCTTTTCTTTTTGGTAGATTATAATATTTTTGAACTGGAAGATATTTTTTGTTTCATATTATATATTATAATTAACGAAAAAATTTTCAGAAACAAATTATATAAATGTAATTTAAAAAAATTGTTACTTAATTACTGAACTCGATGTGCTTAAAGTTCTGTATTCTGTATAATTATATATTCATCAGAAGTAAAATTCAACAATATATTTGCTGCGATACGATGTAAATCTCTTAGAATTCCTTAGAATAGTTTAAAAGTTTGCTACATTTATAAATTGTAATTCTTGGTGAAGGAAAGAGTTATGTATTCACGTCTCGTATAAAGCAACACAAGGGATATTGGCGATGGACCTCGTAACTATGAGCCTCAGTCATGTGACGAGAACGATACCGGAGCCGGAACTCTCTCTCCAAATTACCACGCCAAGAGGAATTTGATCCTTGACATTTTAATGGACATCAGCTCATCTACGGCTAGTCTTCAGTGGCAGCAGGACTCGAACCCGCCAAACGTCGGTCACGAGTTCATATTATTACCACCAGGCTACCACGGTTATGTAATTTTTGGTAAGTTGACGTATAGGCGAATGGTTGAATGATAGTATTATTATTCATGCAAGTCATTTTAGCATTCAACGAAAAATAGGGATATATTTTTTGAAGAAAGACTTGTATACAATCGAGAATTAAGGTTATTATAAACCCTATCCAGTGATTCTTAACCTTATTTTTTTTGTTGTGGTACACTTCTAACAATTTCAAAATTTGGCGGTACAGAAACAATGAAATAAGTTTAAAATAATTTTAACTTAGCTGTAATACACTATGTTAAGTAGTTCATGATAATAATTTTCAATGCTAAATTAAAAATTCACGACAAAGACAACAAAATGTTTATTGAGAAGCTAATTACAAAATTATTATAAGAATACGTTTAATGGGAAATTTTAGCTTGATAATTTTTGATAACTTTGCTTGCATTTGGCCGTAAAAATGATAATGCTCTCTCATTTCGTCATCTACATTTAAAAGTCTTGATCTTTTTTTCATTGTGATACTTGTTATTGCTCAAAATCTGAATTCAGTCAAATAAGATGTAGAAAATTATAATATTTTCAAAAATTTTGTGTGGATATTATGAGATAATAGCCTCTAATTTTAATCCAAAATGGATTGATTCTTCCGAGTGTTTTGAAATTAAATCTCGGTTATTACAGAGTGAAATTAATTTTTTCTCTTCATTTAAAGTTAGTTTATATACAGATGTATCTGTATCACAAATGGATAAGAACTCAATCAAATTTTTTAATATCCATCTAATCTACAAAAGAATAACTATACGACGAATACTTTTAGTTTATTTCTGTAAAACGGCCAAAAATGATTCGGTTCCACGAATTTTAATTTTTTCTCAGATTATACATAATAAAAAAAATGACGGCACACAATAGTGCCGCGGCACAGTGGGTGAAAATCACTGCTCTGAGCAATGTGGTTGAAATAGTCTATATATATATATAATGTTCACGAACTCATGCAGGGGCCGCGGTAGCCGATTGGTCAAGGTATCGGATCGTGGCTGGCATGTCATGATTTGGAGCCCAGTACCACTAAAGACTCGTCATGTAGGGGAGTGATGCACGTTAAATCTGTCGAGAGCTCAAACGTCCTCCCGTTGGTGTGGTAGTTAGGAGAGGGGTGCCAGCTCAGGTGTCATCCTTGTCACTTGATCATGGCTCAAAATGTCGAGATCTGTTGCCAAAAGCCCTCGTGTAGCTGAACAGGGCGACATTAACAAGCACTCATTCAACTAACTCTAAGCAATTTTCGAAAAAAGTTTGATATGAGCTTTTCTTTTTTTGCGCTGTTGAATACTTTATCCTTTGCTCATATTAATACAGAAATTTGAATCATATATATCGATAAAAAAGGAAAACATCGATTTAAAAAAGCTCCATATGCAACTTCAAATAAATTATTTCTCATTTACTTCAAACAAAGCAACAATACGATTTATTTAATGTCTAATAAGTGCCTTCATTATTTGGGTCTCTCAATAGTGATAATTTTCTCTCTCTCTCTCTCTCTGAAAGAGCCAATGACGAAATCGAATCTGTGAACTTCTTGAAAAGGCTGCATTTTTGCGGTATATTCCATTCTCATATCGTGTTCCGGGACCTCAATGCGACAAAAGAAATATCCGTCCCCTCATGAAAGAGGAAGAAATTTCCTGGTAGCTCGGGAAGATTGTTGTCCTGCGCAACACCTACTTAGCCAGAGACGTTTCCTGCGCTGTTTCTTCCCTCTTTACTCTCCGACACGGTAGTCGAGAGACTAGAATTGGCGAGTTATCGCTCTTTTGGTGATTTATATACGAAGTTAAGTCTCTTTTAATGGGATGGTTTAAGTCAGTGGTCTTTAAATTGTGCTCCACGGAGCCCTGATGTTCCACAAGTCACAGAAAATCAAGTAATCTAAAAAACATTTTTATGTCAATTCCTACTTGGGTCAATAAAGAAAATTTTTATTTCAGTTTCTTTTTATTATGTAGTTACAATTAATATAAATATGTATATACATATGACAGAATCACAATATTAAGTTACAAAATAAAAAGCAATTTTCCTTTTTATGTATGGTGTTGGACTATTTTTCGTTTGTTACTGTTTATATATACATAAAATCAAATTTAACTATTCTACTAAAATAGTATAGTAAAAAAGAAATCACATTCTCAGAAACTAGGCCATTCCAGGTGGAATTTGAAACCAGGACTTTTGGATTAGAAGTCCAACGCGCATTCCATTGTGCTACAGGGACACAACGAACTATTTTTCTTTCTACATATGTTGTTGGACTATTATTTTTGTGTTTGTTACTTTTATTCATTTTTTAATTTAATTGATAAATTAATATCTGAAAAACTGTATTAACATTAATTGTCAACCCCTAGAAGTTTAAAAAACGTATTTGAACTTGAATGAATGAATATAAAGTATTTTATTAACGATTAAAAATTTGAACAAGATATATATATATAGGGAAAGAGTGAATTATGGTAGAAATTGAAAAAAATCAAAAGAAGCTTATAAATGTCTATGTAAAATTAATTCATGTTCTCTAAATTGTTTGTATATCCACAAGAATTTAAATTTAGTCCCTGTCATTTAGAAACTGTGAAAAGCTTATTCATATACAATAACTTTATCTTGAAATACTTTTAAACTTATTATAATATAAAGAATATTAAAATGTTTTATGTTATATATATTAATTATACTAGATTGTGTGTGAATATTTTACTGTTTATTATACTGAGTTCCACGAAATAATTTTATATTTGGTAGTACTATGTCTTCCAAAACTAGATAGCTTTCTAATAGAAAGTGCATTTTTCATGTTTGTGGAAAAACACCTACAATTTATCAACAGATTCGATGTTAAAAATCTAAATTTAAGCAGGAGCAGATCCTAAATTTTAGGTTGGAAATTCATGCAAAATACACAGTATTTCTCACACAGCTGCTAACATTTTAATGTCAGTCGGAACATTGGCAAAAATATTATTATTGAAATATTACTCAGCGTGAGTGACTACAAAAACAAAGTATAGAATCAAATGAAACTCAGAATATGAAATTCAATTCTCAACAGACCAAGACTTTGACAGTTTGTATGAAAAAATGCAATCACATATCTCAATTACTACTGCATGGTGACACTTGTAGCACAGATTAATATTATTCATGAGTAAATTATATTAAAATTAGATTAAAATTTTTTAATAATAAATGTGGTACTTTTAATTACTTTTAAATTGATCTATTGTTGATCTACTCTTTAAATATTTTAAGATATATTCTTCTAAGTGTGTGTTGAATAGAGTTTTACAAAAATACTTTCTAGATCTAGAGGTTCTACAAAAACCCTTCTAGTTCTAGGGGTTCTGTGAGTTGAAAAGTTTGAAGACCGCTGGTTTGAGTCACGAAGAAATGTCACTAGAGTTAATTTACAGAACGATGAGATCTGCTGTATCTTAAATAAAAGAAAGCATTAAATGGGAGGTGAAGTTTAGTTAATGAAATGTCAATTTGCTTGTCATTCTCTTCTTTATGTCGTTATTTAAATTTATGCGATGCATCAACACGTTTGTGATCACAAAATTTGAAATTCGGATTACTTTTTTTTCATTTTTCTTAAAAAAATTATGGTCCTATACACGAGCAAAATGATTTATTTAATTTTATAAAAAATCTCAATTTTTTTTAAAAAAATAATTCACTCAGTATTTAAAAGTCCTAGATTTTTCTTTGTATGTATTTCTGTAATGGTAAATTTCCATTTATTCTTGAAAAATTATATCATTATGACATTTAATAAAACTAAAAAAATTCGCTTTTTTCGTAAATCTCAAAGTATAAAACCCAATTTAATGTAATGATTAAAAAGAAATACAAAAGCAAAACTAATATATGTATGCTCTATAAGCCAAAAATTGTTTTTATGCTAACAAATATGTAGAATAAGAATGAAATCAGTTTGTATGTTAAACTAAAGATTTTTGTTTGTAGTTTCCTTTCTTTGTGCGCCAATATAAATAGAAATGCGAAATTTTTGGGATTTGTATAACTTTATGATGGATTGGTCAATTGGTCCGTAATTCTACATTTAATAAAACTTACATTAAAAAGTGCTATTATTGCATGTGCGACACCTGAAATGACGAAAATACTTGGCAGCCAGGCTGTTTGAAATGATAAAAGAAAAAAAAATCGAATTATTAATTATTGGGGAATATATATCAATATAATAAACTGCTGGCGATAACATTCCAACACCATGAAGGAGGTGTGATGCAAATGTCAAATTCGGATTAAAAAAGGAAAGAAGCTAGGATCTACAAATTATTGTTTTAGCTCATTCGAACAACGCAGAAGGGAAAAAAGACATCTCAAGCTCATTATAAAAGGAAAGTTACGCAGCAAGCTTCTCTTTCTAAAATCAGATTTGAATGTTGGTGGTTTGTGAGAAGATCGTGTGAAGCCTCCTATAAAGAGAGCTTTCTGTCAAAATTCAATAACGGTGGAATCGTGTCCCATCGAGATTGCGGTTTATCGTTCCATGATATTACTAATCGCATTGGTTGGAATCAAACGATTCCTAAGCGAATATGGAATCGATAGGTTCAGGAGAGTTATACAAATCTTAACGACCTCTAACAATTAGCGCCCCAGAGGATAGACCCTGTTGTCAGGTGAAACTTGTTGCTGTTGTTGCTTATGCCACCTGATCGACAGTAACATCAGATCAAAGTCTACGAAATTCATCGCGGCTAAGGGCTAGAATTTTACGCCTGTCGTTAGCCGAAGCTTTGAGCTCCCATGAAGGTGACAGTGCGATTTTGCTCGGTACAACACGATAGATGGCGACACCATTCGGACCCACTGATTTAACGAGCACGTTCTTCGTCTGTACTCAATGGGCATTTGGTGGCATCAGGCATCGAACCCAGGCCTTCCGGGCTGGAGTCCAATGCTCTAACCACTAGGCTGCCCACGGAAACTTGTTGGATCGTACAGCCAGCCACATACGAACCTTGAACCAGAAAGTAGGTTTATTTGCGTATCCGTTCGTGGTTGAACAGTGCGACGACGTCTGAAGCAACATGGACTATATACATTGCAACAATTATTTCGGCTTTCTTTGAGACGGCAGTATATAGATGCGTGGTGGTAGTGGTGCGCCGATCAAAAAACTGATTAAAACTGACTCGTCTGAAATGACGATGTCATTTCAGACGAGGTCCGGTACCGAGTGCATCATGATAAGGGACGTATCCGTATCTGGAGGCATTGAGAATGCTCGTATCTGTAGCATCATACGGGCTCTGCAACAAGTCTGATAGCATGAGCAGCAATGGAGTACACGAATACGAAAATCTCTTGTTCACGTCGTTAATAATCTGAGCAGCCAGAGTTACATTTCTCGGATGTTAAGGCCTGGGGCTGTGTTCTATCTTCGAGACCTCGGAGACATCATCTTTCAACAAGGTTGCGCAAGATCATACGTTGCCTGTTGTATGCTAACTTCCTTCGACACAGATAACGTTAGTTTATTGCTCTAATTAACACGTTCTCCAGATCTCTGGTACCATGAAAATATATGGCCATGGGATGAGGCGCGACTGGGCCGCAACCACTCTCCTTGCATTACGATTGACGAATTGAGGCATGGAATGATTTTTCCGTATTTGTAATCTAGGCTCTTGTTTGACTTGATACATAACCGGGTAAGAGTCGTTTTAGCTGCTGTAGGCAGCATCTCTTTGTATTAATACTAGACTCTGCATACCCTAAAATTGGTTACAATTTTTAATAATATTTCCTTCCAAGTATGCTGTATGCGCACAATAGGCTAAGTTTTGTTATTTGTTTTCCTTCTTGATCTTGCAATTTAAATGGGCAGCAGTGTAATTAAATGTGCTTTTGCTATACGTTTTTAATTTAAATTATGATTTACAGAAGCCAAATATCGCAAGATAAATATATGTTTTATATAAAATTATTACTGTACTTGTGTAATAGGGCGAGTCTAAATTTTTTTCAGAATCGTAAAGCCTATTTATGTGGGAAAAAACATTCTCTGGAGTTTAGATGAAGTAAAAATAAAATGAAGAACTAGTTTTTATGTCAAGTACTGCCAAAAGAGAAATGAAGTTTAGATATTTGAGTCTTTTTAATGTGGTAAAGAATCAAAGAGCAATTTTTGTCAAAATGAAACATTTCAGCAATTTTTCACATATTTTTTTTTTGATGAGAGGACGAATACTAAATAGTTGCAAAAAAACCCATCAGGTATGCATGCCATTAAAGCAAGTAATATAAATTTTTTAAAAAAATCAATTCCTACTTTGGATGGATGAACAGAAAGTATTTTATTAGAGATTGAAAATTTGAGCAAGATATATATATAGGGAGAGAGTGAACTAATAGTAGGAATTGAAAAAAGAGCATGATTTGTCTGCAGCATTGTTGTAACAATACACACCCGGTTTGGCTGAAAAACCGGTTTTAGACGCCAACTTTTGTCATTGTTTTAAGTTACGTTGTTACAAGAATGAAGACGAATCAAAGGTGACGCCGAAAACCGGTAATTAATTTAATTAATTAACAGGTAATTAATGAATTAATAATTGAAAAAACTGTAATAACATCAAGAGTCATCCACTACAAGTTTAAAAAAATTATTTCAACTTGATTGGATGAATAGAAAGTATTTTATTGATGACTGAAAATTTGAACAATATATATATACATATATGAGAGAGTGAGCTATATTAGTAGGAATTGAATAAGACCTGCCGAACTGATAGTGCACAATAAAGAGAAAGACGGAAAAAGTCTGGATCGGACTGATCCGACGGTGCGGGTAGATAAAGCTGGGTAATGAAATGTTGGAATGTATAAATTGCACTATTCTCTACTCTGTACTCATTTATCAATAATCATCCTTTTTTATTATTTATATCTTAGAAAAAATTTATTTTGAGTCTTAAGACCAGTTGAACAAAAGTAAGTATTTTCCCATTTTTTTTTCAATAATTCAACCCCTTTCTGACAATATTAAATATATTTTTTGATAGTAGAAACATGCTCATGAAACTGAAATATATTAATTAAATTTTTGAAACACTTCCTTAATTTACCTTTAATAAATCATTTTCGACTTAATTCTTAAATTCCTACACGGAAAGAGTCGGATAACAGTGACCAAAGTTACGTTATTACTTGCTGTGAAATGCACGCATCCCTGCTTCATGT